GCTCCCTCGAGATTTGCCTCTTCGCCTTCTCCTGCCCACAGCTGGGCCACGCTGTCCAGCTCCTCCACCGCCGCGGTGTCCGGGTCCGCATCATCACCGACGCGCAGTACATGGGGCTCCGGGGCTCCCAGATCGGCCTCCTCCGGCACACCGGTGAGGTGGCCTTCCCTTGGCAAGGGGCCTCTGCGGGGCCGGGTCCTCGGGATGGCTGCGGCCTGAGTGATGGGTTGGGTTACGGCTGAAGAGGTGGTTGTGTTTTTGCAGGGATCCAGGTACGCCATGACCAGGAGAATGGTTACATGCACCACAAGTTCGCTATCGTGGACAGGAGGATGCTCATCACGGGCTCCCTCAACTGGACTGCTGACGCTATCCAGAAGAACCGGGAGAACGTGCTGGTCATGGAAGATGCTGAGTATGTGAAGCCTTTTCTGGATGAGTTTGAAAGGATTTGGGAAGAGTACAATCCCAGGAACTACAGATTTTTTTCCAAAGACAATAAATGATTGAGTTGCCTCCCAGGGCTGGTAGGGTACTTAACAGCTAGCATTCACGGGCTTTATTGTTATTATGTATAAACATCATTGTATTATCCGTCTGGGTGTAACTTAGGCCAGCTGTCTGCCCTAAAATGCCACAGGTCCCTTGCCGTGGGTCGTTCCCCCTAGCACAGGAATGACCCAACTGTTTGGTGAGTTGTTTGGTGAGGATAGCTGTGATAGGACTGCATTTGTAGAGCTTAAAACTACGGGCAGGCTGGTTGCTGTGCCCTGGTGCAGACCAGGTATGTTCATACGGTGCTGGGTGAGTGTTTGAATGGTGAAACCAACATTTTCCAACTTGGGATGCTGCAGAATGGAATTGGAGCCTAAGGGCTTCTCTCATCGCTAAAGATGAGAGGGCTGCAGCACAGCCAGAGTTTGTACAGAGAGATTTAAGCACCTCAGTTACATTTCTTGTTGGCATTACTTGTTGAAAGTTTGTATAAAGGACATTTGTGGGAAATCCAAAGACAGAAATGAGAAGTACGTTCTGTGCACACGTTTCCTTTGGTTTAAGATTAGCAGAGCTCCAGAGTAAAAGCGTGAGAATAGATCCAACGGCAGCT